TTTTCAGAAATTTTCATAGCTTTTGCTTAAATTTTGCCTCAACTTGCTTTTCTTTTATGTTCATTTATTTTTCTTTTCAGAACTTCTTGGAACTTATTTCTCTTTTCAGCTCTTTATATCATCTTTGATCCTGCCAACTAATTAAAAATTTCCTTAGCCAGTTTTCTAATTATAGCCCAACTGATTCAAATCACTAGTATAGTTGCCATCCAAACCTAATTGGGTTGGAGCTTTGGGACTGTCTAGGGTCTTACTAACTATTTGAGAGTAGTTAAAGCCATAGAACTTGTTCTAAACTTATAGTATAAATTGGAAATTTGGGTAGTAATGGGCACTGCACATGATCTTGCGCATGATGTTATGGGATTTTAAAAAACTCTGTGAGGAATATTTTATATAATTCAGACAATTTCATAAATCTGGCCAGGTTCCATAATATTTTGAGAACAATGTAAAATTTTGACCCAATTTTACAAAATTCTGAAAATATAAAAAAAACCAATCCTATGTGAAAAACAGTCAATACAAATTTTCTGATATACCCAATTTGAACCAATAATTATAATTATTTGGATAGCAATTATACTTATGTGATTAGGCTTTATGGCTGCCACAAGTAATGCAAGAATCTCATGTTGGTGATTGAGCATACTTATAAAAAAAAAGTTCAACTTTTTATTACAGAAAATACTCATTATTTAAAATAATAATCTGAACATAATTTGAATAAAATTTTAACTTTTTTTATAAAATTTACAAGAAAAATAGGTATAAGAGTTTCACATTGCAATTAGGCTTTATAGCTGTAGTAGCAATGCAAAGACCTCATAGTGTGATTAGGCTCTATAGTTGCTAGAGCTGCCAGAGATAGGTTTAGTTGCAAATAGCTACAATTATTTATAATCAATTTTCTAAATATTGAGTGATTTTTTCTTTTTGAGCTTTTAATTAAAGTTGTTCAAAATTAAATTCTGTTTATCCAATCTTTTAAGTGGAAAGAACAAAATTTTCTCTGGAACTAAGAATTTTAAATTTTTTAACATCATAGTTGATTAATAACTGGTTATAATGTTAATCAAATTTGAAATTCTGAGTTCCAAAGAAGGTATTATTCTTTCTACTTATAAGATGAGATAAACAGAATTTAATTCTGAAGAATTTTAATTAAAACTCAAATAGAAAAAATTATATCAGTATTTAAAAAATCAACTATAAATAATATAGCTGTTCATAACTGAACCTATACTAATGGCCACTATAAGTAGTAAAAAACCTCATGTTTAGTGATAAAGCACTACAACTACAATAGCTATACAAGGTTTTATATTGTAATAAAGTACTGCAACTACAATAGCTATACAAGGACTTTACATTGTGATTAGGCTCTGTGGCTGCTATACTAATACAAGGATCCATATTGTGATTAGGCTCTATGGCTACTACAGGCTGTATTGATCTAATGTTTTGACTATAACTACAATAACAGTGCAAGGATCTCACATTGTGATTAAGCTTTGTAGCTGCAATAGCATGCAAGGACTTTATGTTTGTGATTAGGGGCTGACAAATATTAGTTCATTATACCCCCTGGGATTTTTACTTAGTTCTACCAAGAGTTAGTTATTTGACACAGTAAAATTTACAAAAAATGTATAATTAGATTTTTGTTAGTTGACCTAATTCTGCATTTTACTGTGTCAAATAACTAACTCTTGATAGGACTAAGTAAAAATCCTAGGGGGTATAATGAGTTAATATTTGTCAGCCCTCTTAAGCTCTATGGCTGTCACAGGCAGTGCAATTAAGCAGTGTAACTACAGCATGGCAGACATTCGATTTGATTGGCTTGAAGATCACTAAGTTACTCAATATAAAAAAAATTTAAAATAACCCTTACTATGAAAAACTATATTGTCAATTGGCAACTCATAGTTTTACAAAATAAATTTTTTTAGAACATATTATAGTGTTCTTTAACCTCTTACACATCTTTTGGAAAAAAGATCAGTATAGATTATTATCTCTAAAAACTTTATTTAGGAGGCAAATTTAGGCAAGTAATATAGTAATATAGCATATAATAAATAGGTATTTAACTTTTTTTGCTTCCAAACTCAATGTCTTGACTTAAAGTAACTAATAATATAGTAATACTTATATTCAGAACATCCCACTCATTCTTTATTTCATACTGTTTAATTTATTATTAAAGTGTAATAACCTTATTTATTCTAATTAATATTTTAGATTAAAAATCTGGAAGCAAATTTGTAACTAGATTTATGGAATAACCAAGAACCCAAAAGATGTAGCTATAGGATAGTTATAGAGTACACAAAGCAGAGAAGTCTTAAAATTTGTTAGATAGTAAATATGGTGAATTAAATTGGGCTTTTAAAGTAGCTAATTTACATTACATAGCTAGAGAGCTTAATACAATTCATAAAGCCAATTTAGTACACATTTTCATTCTGGCAATATAGTTAATCGTTCATATATTACTTATATAAGCTAGTGTCACAAGACTCAAATTCTAAAGAACATTTTAGTGCACTTCCATATATTGCTCCAGAAGTATTATATACAAATAAAAAAAAATACACTCAAAAATTAGTTATTTATTCTTTCAGAATAATTATGCTGAAGTTTTTACTAGATATTATGATATTTTACACAACAAAGATCTAGCAATCTAATGAGCTTAAATTCATAAGTATAGGTTTAGATTCACTCTTGTTCTTTATAAATCCTATACTAATAAGCTTAGATTTATAAGTGTAGATTTAGATTCACTTCTAGACTAGACTATGTTTTTTTTTAGATTTGTATGAGTTAGATTCACTTCTAGGGCTTAGATTCATAAGTGTAGGTTTAGATTCGCTTCTAGACTAGACTATGTTTTTTTTTAGATTTGTATGAGTCAGATTTAGGGATGGGTTTGGTCAGCTACAATAGGACCCAAATAATTCTAAAGTAGGTGGTATGGCAAAAGAGAGTAGATTTTTTGGGCCAAACGTGTCTAAATTCTGGTCAAAATCAATTTTTAATTTTAATTTTATCCAGGCAAATTTGGCCCAAAATCTACCCTCTTTTGCCCTACCACCTACCTTAGAATTATCCGGGGTTCTGCTATGGTCAGCTATTGGTCAGCTATCATCAACTATTAACTAGTAGCCGGCTATAGTCAATAAATTATTAATCAGTTTCTTAATCAATTTTTCAATCAAACATATAAACAAGTGTGTTATACAGTTATACATTTTAGAGTACCCTAGCCATGGTGAAAAAATTCGGGCCACATGCTATAAACAGCCAAACAAAATGATCAAAATATTGAAGATCCTGATCTACATTTCCGAAACAATCTAATTCTGGTCAAATTTGCAGATCGCTTGGCCTATTGTGGATGAGTTTTAAACTCATTCCCAGTAGGCCAAATGATTTGCAGATTTGACCAGAATTAGATTGTTTTGAAATTCTGTATTGCAAATCATTGTCTTTTAGTATCTTACAATAAATCACCTTAACTATCGCACCAATTTAGATTCATAACTTTAATTATCTAAATGTCGTAGTCTACAAAATTTTGACCCACATTATACAATTGTTACGTAATTTTTGGCCGAAATTAAGTTTAACTTTTTTATTACAAAAATATTAATTTTTAGGGAAATAGGGCCTCCATTATAATAAAATTAGTTCAGAAACATTTTTCACTTAATGGGCAAATGTGATTACAGTGGTAAAATTTTGAGCAATTTCAGCCTAAATTTTTTATCGTCACTCTTAGCCAATTAAATCGAGAATCTACTATGACGAACAACTAGAGTATTTCTTGCAATAATTATGTAATTTGAGCACTTTATGCTAAATTAAAGCAATAATTTTGATTTATCAGCCAGGTGTTATGATCGAGTGGGAGAGCTTATAGGGTCTTGGACCAATTTAGCTTTGATCATAGACAAATAGTGGTTAAGGGTAAATGGTTTAATTTGATAAACTAACACACATAATTACGGGTTAAGGTTTCTCTTTATTAGGATAAATCAATGTATCAGAATATTACAATAATGCTCAAAATATTATTCACTCATTAATTCATTAATTCTAACTACTGTTTGCAGACTGAAACCACATCCTTATATATCTTTAATTCGTGTGGGGTTTTAATCCTCACTGAGGGTTGTTATCCCTCGCTGAGAGTTTCAATCTTCTGCTATGCCACAAACTATACCAAAATAAGAAGTACATAAAAATAATGAAGAATAATATGATACGTACTAACTAAAAATAGAAATTTGAGCATAACATTATCCCTCTTTTGGAAGGATGAGCTCCAGCGAATCGTCTTGACAAGCATTAGGACATCTACAGGATATCTTGCTTTGGGGTACTTGCAGGATTTTTTTTTTTTTCTTCTACCACGATCGCCTAAATTGTTTTTCTTAAATAGACGTTCCACTACCCTATAAAAAAAGTGGTCTGTGTAGGCACGTGTTTCTACGGAGAGACACGGCTGAGTGTGGAACGGGTGGATGTCCGGGTTTGTACGTCTTTGTACCGTGTTGGCACGTTAAATTGGTCCGAATTGGACTGTTTACCCGGACATTTTGGACCGTAAATGGACCGGGTTTTGCTGCACTTTACTAAACCAAAACTTACGGGTTTTGGCACGGGTAATTACATGTAAAATAACGTAATAAAACGTGCACGGTATTGACACGTGCATTGGGTGGCACGTATGTAAAACGTAATATACGTGCCATTCTGTCACGTTTTGGTTCGTGTTTCATGCCTTTACGTGCCACATGACACGTGCCTATCCAGACAACCTCGAGCCAACCCGTACCAACACCCGGTCCACTTTTCTTATAGGGCTATATGACCAATTCTATTTCCATCAGCACTTCTGGTTTTGATTACAAGAACATTAATCAGGTGTAACTTGACCATCGTAAGAGATTTCCACAATTTAACTCCAATCTTTCGTTTATTCATCTTTATCCTTTTAACCTTAATTTTTCCATTTTATTGTTACTGAAAGACAAAATGTTAACACTATTTTTACATTTCACCATTCCCCTATTATCGATGATTTCACTAGTATGCTTCTTTAAGCCTTGGATATGCACAGCTTTATCCATCCAAGTAATACACATTTCCCGAAGACCATTACTGTTCAAATTATACTTTTTATTAACCTTCGTGTTATTAAGCACATTGCATAATGAAATTTTAACCATTCCATTCTTATATTCAGCTACATTAATTTGAGCCTTAAACAATTCAACCTTCTTTTTCCACACTATACACATAGCTTCGAGAGATTTGTAGCTTTCGGGTAAATTTTTATTTTCAGCAGACTTTAGATCCCACTTAAATACCATCTTCTTGTTCTTAACCGAATCAATTTCATCTTAGTGATAGGTCCCAGGACTACTTTGTTCATGACTATCTATTTCGACTCTAATTTTACTTTCACAGCTATGCCTAGGTTTATTAGTTTCACCAATCTGGTCAGTATCAAGATGGCAAATTAATACCTTATTTTTATCCTTCATCACGTCTATGTCATTTTGGTAGCAACGTTTAAGACCCCACGTTGCATTAGTATGATTCATGTCTATAGGCTTTTGATAATTAATGAATGTCTCGGGTTTATACTTTTCAATTCCAATTCCATTTTGGTAACATTTACCAAGATTGTTCATTCCTTTAGCATGGCTCGTTTCTGCTGACTTTTGGTAGTAAGTAGATACCCGATGTTTATTCCTTTTATTTTGCATTACAACTGCTTTTCCTCGATCAAATACCAATATATTACCATCACCATTATCATACTTGGCTGCAGTCGCTTCATTAATAACATCTGACATCCTCAGATTAGTGTAACTTATGTCTATAAACTTCTGGCATTTATACTTCTCGGGTCTGATAGCTGTCGAATGCCTTTTGTTCTTCTTTTTCAATTTTAATTTCATTTTGGTAACAATGAACATTCTGGAAAAAGTAGGTACCAGCATGTTATTATTATTTAATGCTTCATGTTCACTCTTTTCAACTTCTATCCCATTTTGATAGCCACGTTCAAGGCCAAATAAACTTCGGACATCCTCTAACAGATCCTCTGGATTGTCCGTAATTTCGTGATTATTAGATGTATCCTTTTTACGCTCTTTCTTATTGTCATCACTATTGTTTTGGTATACCTTCACGTTTTTACCTAAAACCTCATTTTTTTATTTTTGGGTCTTTTATTTTTTAGCTTTTGCGTTTCTTTTATCAAGGCCTTCTTCCGAACTTTATTGTCTGGGTTTATCTTTGCGAGAGAATCGGTGAACTTCGTTTTCTTTTGCTTCTCACTTTTATCTGTGTTTATGTGACCACTCGTTTCACTTCGGGAGCAGATTTGTCATAAAAAAGTTCACAGGATACGGCACTTGAGGTATTTGTGAAAGAGTAAACACAGTACTTGCCACTCTATTGTATATAATAGCAGAACTACATATATTTAACCCATGTGTGTACATTATCTCGCATACCTTGGCTTTGTCTATGGCCTCTTGCAATGTATTCAGCATAAAGGATTCTGCGGCTAATGACAAATCTGGGCAAAGCCCTTGTATAAATATTTGTATCTTTACTATCTCAGAACATTGGTCACCAATCTTTGCTAGTCAGTCAAATAGCACCAACATATCCGTTACATATAGATCTACTGATTCTCCGACTTGCTGTTTCCTGGTAAGTAGTTTAGTATTCCATCAGTTTGAGTGCAGAAAGCTTGACAAAATTGGTAGACAAAACTCTGGTCTGGTTCTTGTACATTACTCCAAAATCAAATCTTATTCTTTTGTTCTTGCCACCATGGCGCAGCCAACCCTACTAAGTGAGCACCCACTACAGCCAACCGTCTCATTCCTAGAATGTTGTTTGCCTCAAATGCTCTACTAATTAAATCCAACCATTCTAGAGAATCCTGATCACCACCTATAAAAGTTGGGATTTTCACCAGATCTATTTCTGCTTGAGGCTCCTGGAGATGCACCAAAACGTTTACAATAGCCTGGAAAAGTTGATTAAAATGTTCATTATTTCTATCCATTCTTTTATTGTTCTTCGAATTCAGCATATGTTTTAAATAAAATAGTATTTTTATGATGAGAAGGTGTGGGGTTAAAATGATCAATCCACACAATCGGCACCAAATGTTATGATCGAGTGGGAGAGCTTATAGGGTCTTGGACCAATTTAGCTTCGATCATAGACAAATAGTGGTTAAGGGTAAATGGTTTATTTCGATAAACTAACACACATAATTACGGGTTAAGGTTTCTCTTTATTAGGATAAATCAATGTATCGGAATATTACAATTATGCTCAAAATATTATTCACTCATTAATTCATTAATTCTAACTACTGTTTGCAGACTGAAACGCTGAGGGTTGTTATCCCTCGTTGAGGGTTGTTATCCCTCGCTGAGGGTTTCAATCCCCGCTATGCCATAAACTATACCAAAATAAGAAGTACATAAAAATAATGTGATACTAATTAAAAATAGAAATTTGAGCATAACACAGGAAATAAAAAATTTGGTATCGGCTAGCCGATCAGCTAAGCCGATCTAGTCGACTATCATCGACTACGACTATAGCCGGTCAGCTAGCACCGAACCCATCCCTAGTCAGATTCGCTTCTAGACTAGACTACGGTTTTTTTTTAGATTCGTATGGGTCAGATTCACTTCTAGACTAGACTACGGTTTTTTTAGATTCGTATGGGTCAGATTCGCTTCTAGACTAGACTACGGTTTTTTTAGATTCGTATGGGTCAGATTCGCTTCTAGACTAGACTACGGTTTTTTTTTTTAGATTCGTATGGGTTAAATTCGCTTTTAGACTAGACTACGTTTTTTTTTAGATTCGTATGGGTCAGATTCGCTTCTAGACTAGACTACGGTTTTTTTTAGATTCGTATGGGTCAGATTCGCTTCTAGATTAGACGACGTTTTTTTTAGATTCGAATGAGTCAGGTTCGCTTCTAGACTAGACTATGTTTTTTTTTAGATTCGTATGGGTTCTTGGCTATAAAACCCAAAATTAAATATGAAGCTCCTCAATTACTTTTGGATCTGATGAATAAGTGCTTAGATGCAGAACCTTGAAACAGACCAACTGCTGAAGAATTATATAAGCAAGTTAAAAATATTAAAGACTTTGACAAAAATTTTTTCAAGCCAAATCGACACGATTCAAATATCAGACACATCCGCAAGCTATTTATACAAGTCAATTTTTGAATATTTCAAACCTCTCTAAACCAGGTAATAACACATGATTTATTTCCAGTTCTATCTGTAATGTCGACAGGAGCGTGCGTGGGACCTTACATTTTTGTTGAACTATCAGAATTAGTCTTCATTTGATTTCGACAAATGAGGCTTATCGCTATAACATTTACTCTTTAATATCATATGAATACAGTTTATCAATTTAGAGCTAGCTTACAAATAATCATAGCTTGTCTATGTGTATAGATTTAGAATCAAGCCGTTAAAGAATTCACAATAAAATTATGGGTATTCCAAATTATTTCATCGAGTACGTTGTTTTGGAATTTAAATCACCAAGATAGGATTTATTCATAACACAGTGCATTGTCAAATTAATAAAATTAAAGCATGACGCGAAATTTTTACTCTATGATTAGTGGTATAGCAACTATTCCTACAGTTATATTTATTTTTACATTTACAGCGAGTTTTGACTCATGCATTTTGCAATTGTATTTAAATTACCTACATGTGAAGAGGATTGCATGATAGATGCTTTTCAAATGATTAAACGAGCATTGAAAGGATTCTATTGTAAATGTATTGTTTGCATTTTTGCATCCCCGATTTTTGTCTTTGCTGAATCTTGTAAAACCTTAATATAAAAAGTTTTCACGTAAAGTTTTATGTTGCCTATTTGCCGACTCATTACTAAAATATTTGGAAAGCAACTCTTTGAATAGATTACGGGTAAAAATGGATAGTCTTAATATTCATTCATCAGGTAGAGAGAGTTGCAAAGAATGAAAAAGGTAAAATGAAAAAAAAATAAATAATGAAAGATTTGTGACAATATGTCACTATTTATTATAGTATCGAATTTAAAGTCAACTTAAGTTGCTATTAAATTTACCGATTATATAGTACTAAATATAGAATCGGCTTAAATTGCTTTCAAATTTCGTATCAACTTGGATACATTTGGCAACCTAAGTGGATTCTAAATCTGCAATAATTTCGTCGACATATATACAGATATTGTTTACGCAACTTGGCCATAGAACGTTGTTTTTCCATATATAAATGTTAATCAGAAAGTGTTTGGCAGTTATACGTGGTAATATACAATTGGATAAATCATACTGAGCTAAGACGTTTCCTAATACTAATGTATAATTACCTGTTTATTCACATACCTACCTGATAAATTCGTATATCATTTATAATTTATTCATGCCAACACGAGCTTTATATTTTGTTGAACTGATTTTATTTTTATTATTATGCGTGAGTGAGGCTCGTAATCTCTATTATATCGTATATCAGGAATGTACAGTTTATTAGCGAGTGAAGTGTCTCTTTTGCAACTGATTGGATAATCCATCCCCACGGCTTCGTCTTGGAATTTCTATACTTGTACACTATGAGGCTTTATAAAATACTTTCAAATTGGGTGTTGTGTGATCAAAGGATTGTTCTTGACTATTATATTAAATTTCTTTGATCATTAATTAAAAAATAAAAATTTACAATTTATTATCGTGGCTTTTAAATCTGATAATTCATACATGAAATTATCTCGTTTTTACCTGGTTTGTTTATGGTTCTTTATGAATTATTATGTCGGTAGATTTTTCTATTTTAATTTACTTATAGAATTTGTTGTTTAATACAATATATGATTGGTAAAATTTTGCTGCGTTACCTATAAAATTTTTACTCACTTTATCATCTATACGATTTAAACCTTATTATTAGATGTCGATCTTAACATTGTTTGCTTTAAGTTCTTAGACTTGTCTAACTAATTCATTAAATTTAGAATTTCATTTTTAAATAATAATAAATTTATATATGATTTTAAGTTCCACCAAAGCTTGAATTATCTGTATTGCTTTCTAAGGTATGTTTAGCTGGTAAAAAGAATTGACAGTAAATTTAGGTAAGAATAATGGATGCTAATGAAGGATTTTCATTAGAAAAGGGATATAATTTCAAACACTGGTGATAATAATGAAAAAATAGAATAAATATGGGAATAATGCGAATACATAGTTGTTACAAATAGTGTCATAATTGTAAATACAAAGAAGTTACATAGGCTACAAATATATTGATTTTGCAAATCTTATGAATTCAGCATATTGGAGGTTTCTGAATTAACATTTTTCAAAATAAGTGGGAGTTTAAAAGCTTTTTTAGAATTCCGAATCAGAAAATTATATAAGCATAGCTGGTGATAAAATTAGCTTTTTTTTTTTAATAAACATTCATCGGTAGGACTTGGAGAAATGATACATCGATAAAGTGGATTCGGAAAGTTGAACAACGTAACAAAACGGGTATGTACAGTAAAGGAACATTTACGATATAATTAATATTTATTGTTATAATATTAATTTTATCGTCCGAACGTATAATTTTATGTTTTAAATTTTTCACCGATTGAGAAATAATGTACGTAGTTTCAAATTTTAAGAATGACTTAAGTAAATTTGGAATTGACCTAAATTGTGAATGACGCAGAACAGTAGCACTAAATCATGTTTTGTAAAAAAATAATAATTATTTAAGAAAATGTAGATGCATTTTGCATTGTGAAT